CGAAACGACATGTTAAAAACATGGGTTAATGGTTTGCATATCCCCTCAATTGCCCATTTAACCATTGTCATACTGATACCATCACTGTCACTGGATGATTTATTACCACATTTGTTCACTATCTCTATAATTTCCTTTTCAACTATGGGCTTCAGAATAATAGAACACACATTCTTTTCAATTGTATTGTTATTTATAGTGACGGATGTATCATCTGTACAAATGCTTCTTGCTAAACCAGGACCAACATTCACAAAAAACCTATTAAACTTATCTACTACATCCTCCAATCTGTTGACCGGTGTATCATTGTTCATAAAATATTGAGGGTAGTTACTCATGCTAGTACTCTTTCTAATCAATTTATTTAATATATTCCAAATACCTTTCATGTTATTTTTATTATCCTCTAATACTTTAGAGTAATATTGTTTCTTGCATATTTCCAATTAATGCAATTAATTTGTTCTTGTATAAATTATATTTTTCTTCCGCCTTTTTTGATCTGTCCTTTATGAATTCCTTATTTAACACATTCTTCTTTTTACATCCATTCTGTAATCCCTTACTCATCCACGGTTTCCCACTGTAATTCCTCTTGTTTTTATACTGCTTACGAGGACAGTTCCTGTCATATACTTTCATGAATATATTTAAAAATTGCTCATATGCTTTGTCTAAGTCTTCCTCTTTGTAAACTGCTTCCCAGTCTTGCCCCATAACGTCCTCTTTTAGCCTCCTTACAGCATGTTCGTTCATCACCCTCCTATAGAAAAGATTTCTTTTTGGCCTTTCTTTTCTATACTGGCAGTCATAAACCAAAAATACAGGTAAATGATCACTAATATCATTTATAAGTAATCCACTTGTCATTTTGCTGTCAATAACATTGGTAAATATATTATCTATTAGTGTTGCATGCTGGGTTGTTACTCTACTTGGTTTTGTAATTTTTGGGTATAAACTACATCTATATAATGTGTTAATAAACTCCTCAGTTCCTGTGTGCTTGTTAGGATTTAACAAATCTATATTGAAGTCACCACATATGAACATTAATTTATGACTTATTGTCAAGTAATTTTCTTCCATCCAGTCATTAAATTTTTCTATGCTGGCTCCAGGTGCTCTATAAATACAGCTTATTACAACATTTTTCTTTTTT